TACAGCCTATTGCATTTGTTCTGGTGAGTAGAATCATACCCCTCAGACTTTTTGCTGAAAGCACTGTTTTTTCAGAGAATATGTAGTGTTTACATTACAGCCTAGTGATAACTTCACTGGTCACTCCTCCTAGAGCTGCTTCCTATCTCAGTCTTGCTAGTTTGAATCACAACATTCAGTATCTCTTCCCTCTACATGCAGACACTGAACTTTCCTCAGAGATTCATTGCACCAGCCCTGGTTTTCCTGTCACTAGAGAATCCCTTTAATAGGAGTGAGCCCCATGAAGACATATACCCCTCACAGGGAAATCAAGTAAATTCCAATTTAATATAAAAAGAGATGTCCAATTCGACATTCATTGCATAGAGAGCCCTAGTCCCAAAATCAAAGAGCCAGACCATCTCCCTCCTAGAAATAATGGGGAACAGGTCACTACATTCAAAAGGTTTTAAAATTCTCTCTACCCGGCCCCCTCACCCTGGTTATCACTTTGAATGTTATTTAAAATAGTGCACCCTAACTGGGTGACTAAAGACTCCCTTATGTAAGAAGTTCTAAAACAGACGCAGTACACTGAAGGTGCACATTCCTGGCACCATAACCCCTACAGGGTGCTGCAGTGGTTATAGTGCTCTGAGTGTTTCTTTAAATTAAAAATGGGGCAGTGGTATAAGTGAGTAGCCCTGTATTAGACATGGTTATACACAAACTACTCCAAATAATATATTTCTACAGTAATGATTGCATGGCTCCAAAATCCACTGTAAATAAAACACCTAAATACAAAGAAAATATTTGACTAAACCAGAAAAATGTGGGAACTGCACATTTTGGTCAAGATAGCCATGTGGTGAAATTCTCTAATTTAGATTACAATTTTCCAACTTTACTATCATTGCCTACAATTTGTAAAGCACTCACTATCCCACAGTTCACAATTTAGCAAATGAGCCTCCAGGCATTTACATTAAAGGTTAAAAACCAAAGCGGTGTAAAATTAAATTGATCTGTTAACACAGTAGTTATTCTGAAGTTACATTTCTCAGACATAGATCTGACAACCTTCCTGTTTATTGCATATTTGCATTCGGTAATATACCTGACACAATGTTCTTGCAACTGACACAACTGTCATTTTCGATGTGATCTGCAGGGATTGTAAGATATCACGTCAGACAGTACAAGTGAGTTAAAGGGAAATTTGGGTCAAACAGACAGAACTTGCCACTGAAATGTGATTTATTATTGGAGGGTTGAACAGAAATATAAGGCATTTCAAAAAGTCATCCATTCGACTGAGCATCTATATAACCATAGCTCAAAACCATAAACTGAAGATAATCTCTTTTTTATTAAACCAATTCCATTTCCGGGCAAGTGACCCATTACAAAAAAAAGACCAAATATTCAACAATATATTTAGTCACGCAAAGCCAACAATTTGACTTTGGTGAATAACCATGTTTTCTATGAAGCTCTTAAAGCAAAAATTTATATATATATATATATATATATATATATATATATATATATATATATATATATATATATATATATATATATATATATATATATATATATATATAAGGTTTCTGAGGAAAAGTACGAAATGTGGAGCATTCAGCAGTGAAATTCAACTTGTTTCCCTGGTAACTGTTCCATGTTAAAGAGGATCACTACATGCACCATAACCACTACAGTACTCTGTAGTGGTTATTACATAGTTACATATGTTGAATAGAGACATGGGTCCATCAAGTTCAGCCTCTCTCACATCAGTTTTTTTCTGTTGATCCCACGAAAGGCAAAAAAAAAAAATCCAGTTTCAAGCAATTCTAAATTTGCAACAAAGCCGTTCCAGACGTAATAACCTGAAGATAAGAGGGGTACCCGAGTCCGTCACCATGGACGAAATGCCCCACTACCTGCGACGACTAAGCCTCCCTATTACCGCCAACACACGTCAAAAAGCTCGCTTTTGATGTTCCGCCAAGACAAAAGAGCACTCCTCTCAGTTATACGAAACCAAACACCATACACATTTGAGGGTGCTGACCTGTCCATCTACCAAGACCTGTCGAGGTCCACCCTGCAATGGCACAAAACGCTCCACCCAACCACGAGCCAACTGAGAACCGCAGGAGTTACATACTACTGGACCACTCCATGAGCCCTCACAGCAACCCACAACTGATCTATGCTGCGGGCACTGGGACTGTCTGCCCTTGGCGAGGCGTCAAGAGATCAGAGAGGAACATCCACTTGGGACCCGACCACAGTAGTCCAGTTCACCCCATAGAACTGCCCGACCACGAGCACCGGGACATGACTGAGCTCAGACCCCAACGAGCAGCAGGCAACAAGGGACTGTACTCATAACACACAGTTTCACCTAAGTTTAAACAGTTTTCTGTGGTTTCTGTTCTCCAGCTGGCTAGACAAGGCTACCGCAACCTACATACCCCCCCTGTGCAGAGCTAGGGATATACTGACCCTCCCTGCGAAGCTTTAAATCGAGGGGCAACGCCCCGCGGCCCCTTGGTTAGGGGCACTAACAGCCACAACCGGCCCAAGCTCCCCTCGAAGCAACAACACTATCAACAACACTATCATCTATAGCCCAGGCCCGACAATCGAGGCTGATTAAAAGATGGAGGCACACAGTACCACCCATACTTAAACCCATATCAAACTACATGACCACACTTAGCAGCCACCAAACTGCCTACACCCGATCAGATTCAGCTCAGACAACCTCAGCTACAGTTCACTTCCACCGGCTACATTGCAGCCTCGGCATCAAGAGAAGCACAGGTCGTAGGCTGCCGTCCCTAACATGCACAAGGGTACCCGAAAAGCACTCTGTCAATAGTAACAATAGCCTCAGCAAAAACAGTATTTATGCCTGATTTTGCGCATGCTAGCACACTATATCATCACAACAAGCACCCTGCCAGACATGCAAACGAAACGTTTAATATTGTTGTTTTTTATGCAAGGTCTGACTCAGGTCCATAGGCGTGCGCACGGGGTGTGCCGGGTGTGCCTGGGCACACCCTAATCCCCGTGGCACACCTATGGTTTGAGTCCTGCAGGAACAGTGTTCCTGCACTTTTTTTGAGCAGGAACGCTGTTCCTGCAGGCACTCAGCGCCCCCTGTCTCACCTCTTGCCCCTGTCATGGGGGGGGCAAGAGGTGATGGATCCCCCCCCCCTTTCTGCAGCTCAGCCGCGGCGAGGGAGCTCTCTGCTCTCTGCTTCCTCTCGCCGCGCGCTGATGCCGGGAGCCGGAATATGACGTCATATTCCGGCTCCCAGCTACAGTAGACAGCCCGCGCGGTGAGAGGAGCAGAGAGCAGACAGCTCCCTCGCTGCGGCTGAGCTGCAGAGAGGCGCCCGCCCCACTGGACCCCAGGGAAAAGTCCACGCCAGCACTCCAGGTAGGAGGCTGGGTGGACATTTTTTTTAAATTAAAATGTAATAATTTGTTCTTGTGTGTGTCTGTGTGTGAGTGTGTCTGTGTGTGTCTGTGAATGTATGTGTGTCTGTGAGTGTATGTATGTGTGTGTGAGAGTGTGTGTCTGGCTGTGAGTGTCTGTGAATGTGTGTCTGTGCGCATATATATATATATATATATATATATATATATACACACACATATATACACACACACGCACGGCCGGCGCTATGAGTGCCGGCTCTGCTCTAAGCCTCCATGGGCCGGCGGGGAGACCAAAGATCTACCTCACCGGCCCACAGCAGCATGGAGGGAGGCAGGAGAGGACCCAGGGAGCTCTAGACAGAAGCTCCGCCAGGTTCCTCTCGCGATATCTGAGTGTTGCTGCGTCAACGCTCAGATCTCGCGAGAGTTAACTCTAGCCCTGCAGGCTAGAGTTCACTCTCCACTGGACCACCAGGGATGGCACATGGCAGCAAGGATTTACTAATCTGCCAAATCCCTCCAAACATACAGCACACACACAGCACCTTTAAAAAAACACAACACCCTCACACACAGCACACTAACAGCACCCTCCCAAACACAAACACACACACACAAACAGCACCCTCACAAATACACGACACTCACACGACAAACATACACACACCCTCACACACACACACACATCAGTGTATGTGTGTATATATCTATATATATATATAGATATATACACACACACACGGCGTGTATTTGTGCTTTAGGGTGCACACCCTAATGCAATAGGCTGCGCACGCCTCTGCTCAGGTCAGAACCTTTTACCTATTGCCTTGACCACAAAAATGGTGCATCTTTATCCACATGCTCTGTATACGCAAACTGCTTTCTCGCATTGCCTATACCCTGCAAACGATATTTCACATGCACTGGAAAAATAAAGAATTATATTAAAAAAATCCTTCTTAAATCCAGAATGGCAGTCAGATTTATCGTTGGATCAATTAGTTATGGTGTCTGATGCATCCTCACTGTAAGTAGTCAGTTTGACTTCTTATTACGGTCCGCCTGGTGTCAGTCACTACCACTCTGACAGCCTACATGGCAAGGCTTAGCTCAGGAATAAGAGTAACTCAAACTGTTGGGAAATGGTTTGGGTGGCACTAGGACTTGCACTGCACTACTTATGGTGCCTGGAGTGTTCCTGGAATTTTGCATCTGAATTACCTTTTATACATATACTATACCACTATAGTTTATTCCAAAGCACTAAGACAGACAACCTCCCTCTTGGCATGCTGCCACAATCTGTCTCCCCAAAGATACATAACCACCCTATTTCCAACCTGCCACACAGTCTCTCTCTCCCCCACCCAGGCCAGACACAAAACCTCCCTTCCCCC